CGCAAATCTCAAGAATATGCAGCGACTCTCACCAGAAATAACTGGCGAGGATTCTGCAACCTGCTTTCAGGAACATTAAGCACCAAAAAAACATAGTAGATTCTTCGATCCCTCACAGACCCCATCACCGCGAAAACAAGAACGTTTCGACAGTTATTACACATCCTAATACACGAGTATCGGGACGACCCTCCGAAATTTTTCAGTGAGCTCGAAAAACATTTCACTCTGACAGGCTTTTCATTCTGACTATTCGCACATAGGCGAGACAAATGAATTGTTGGATGTAGATGTCACGTATTAGGAAGTACGGGTAGTGTTACAAGATCTACACCGTAACACGGCACCGGGAGCAGACCACATTCGGTTCACCACACTCCGCGACCTAAGTGATGGGGATATCACCCACCTCACCAGTATATTCAATGAATACTGGTGCCAAGGTTCCCTTCGCCAAGTGTGGCAACACGCCGATATTTTGTTGATTCCCAAGCTGGGAAAACCAGTTCAGGTTCAAAACCTACGTTGCATATAGCTAACCACCTGCATTAGTAAGCTGATAGAGCATGTACTCTTTAGAGGTCTGCAGCTCTTCTTAGAACAGCAATCTTTCTTCGCACATCCTCAATTCAGATACCGAGCTCAAATATCGGCCAAAGATGTACTGTTGCAGCTACGAGAGGAAGTCCTAGGGTCTTCTTCTCACGCCCAAACGAGAGCACTCATTGCTTTAGATTTGAAAGGAGCCTTTGATCATGTTGAGCACGATCTCATCCTTCGCAATCTAGCCGAGTCACATTGTGGAACTCGAATGTATAACTACATCCGCTTATTTCTTGTGTGATCGTATGGCCACTGTGGGAATGGAACCGCATCAGTCTGGTAATATCCACCTTACAGAATGTGGGACACCACAGGGCTTTGTTCTTTCCCCTGCATTATTTAATATCGCGCTGGCAGAGCTTCCCGCTTGTTCGACAAGATCCCTGATGTCGCCCATGCTACTTATGCGGATGACATCGCTATTTGGTCAAGATGGGTCTCTGATTGAGCCATCCAGGACCGACTGCAGATAGCAGTGGATACTGTTGTTGAGTACGCTAAAAAAAGGAGGCTTGAAATGTGCGGTGCTTGCTGGGTTCTGTGATATCTTCCATCACAAGCAAACTGCTGCGGCGCACACGCGAGTGCGCCCATAACATGGTTCTAAATGCCTGTTTTACCTTTTTTTTTTTTGCTTCCTATGCGCCATATTTTTACCGCGACCGTGTTGGAAGTGATCATTGTAAAAGTAAAAGGCACTGAAAAACATTTGCTGTCTCTGGACTCGGTTTCAAAGGGGAGCATAGGAAAGTGCACCAAAATATGGTGGTTATAACCGATAGATTGTTATATCTGGGATCATTATAAGTGGGTTGGACTGTACCACCCATCGCCACTCATCCACAGGGAATAGTAAATCGTGCGCCAGACCAGCGAAATGCTGGTGAAACACCAGAGGGGAAGAAAGGAAGCTTTTCTGTGTCGAACTCCACCGCCGTCACCTTGTGGCCAGCACAGTAAGCACTGTCGCGGCCATAGTTAGCAATGCCAGCGGCTGCATAACTTCCGTTGACATGCCAAACATGACGTCTCACAGACAGTGTTGCCAATAATTCTGGCAAGCCAGGTGAGCGTATTGAAGCAATCTTTAAGATTCATTTGCAAACAATCAGTGCATCTCTTAAGCATGTAATGTGGTATAGATGAGAGAAATGTGCAAAGGAACATTCCCAGTGAATTTCATTGAAGTTCATTGACCTCGAAAAATCATCAGAATTGGCCTTTAAGGTCCTTCGTCCTTAAAAAAATGGTCTTGCGGTCATCTGAAATGTGGGCCGTCAGTAATATGGAAGATATATATACTTCACTGCAACACAGCGATCACCCATGAACAACAAGTCTCATGCTTCTCACAATGTCGGTGTACAATGATCTACACATTCCTTCTGAGAATATCATGAAATAATATAGGTCAAGTCTGATAGAATTAGCTCCCCACGGCGGTGGTCTAATGGCTAAGGTACTCGGCTGCTGACCCACAGGTCGCAGGATCAAATCCCGGCTGCGGCGGCTGCATTTCCGATGGAGGCGGAAATGTTGTAGGCCCATGTGCTCAGATTTGGGTGCGCGTTAAGGATCCCCAGGTGTTCAAAATTTCCAGAGCCCTCCACTACGGTGTCTCTCATAATCATATGGTGGTTTTGGGACGTTAAACCCCACATATCACCATCATCTGGTAGAATTAGCGATGTATGCAAACCTACAATTAGTGGTTGCTCTAGCAATTTAATTTGTGCAGTTGCGCTGCTGACGGGGAAGACACCTCCAGCGCATACTTTTGAATCTCAGCTCAAAAACTTCAGGGATCATATTTTCCAGCCAAAGCACATTGCACATTTCATCACTGGCTATTATTAAATTCTTTCTTTAACCAGAAATGATGAGCAAATGGTGGCATCATGACTCTGCAAAAAAGAGGGCAGATGCTGCCGGCGTGTCACAACTGTGCTGCAGTGAGGCACATGGGTGCAACAGCTGCGCCAATTGTATTCATTTGATACAGTTCCCCATTTTCGCACCCACCTGTGCCAAAACCATGAAAATTGCACCACCCTGCATAATTGCCTGACCAGTCTCAAAATTTTCTCAGTTGTGCTAACTTCAGCTAGAAATAGAGGACACGTTGATCATCTGAAGTTTGCTTCATGATTAAGTGCAAGCATGCATATCGGAAGCCGTGGTGTAATATATATATTAAGTGATAACACAGTCAGGAGACAAGATCAACCAGATAACGAGGCGGACTGCTGGCAAGCGGAAACCAAAAGAACTTTATTCACATATATGCTTAGTGGAAAGTACTGCCTCCTTGTGGCCACATGCTACAAGAAACACTGGCAGTGCCCTTTACAGTAAGGCCCGCCACGGTAGTCTTAAGGCTAAAGTACTCGGCTGCTGACCCGCAGGTGGCGGGATCGAATCCCGGCTGCGGCGGCTGCATTTCCGATGGAGGCGGAAATGTTGTAGGCCCGTGTACTCAGATTTGGGTGCACGTTAAAGAACCCCAGGTGGTCGAAATTTCCGGAGCCCTCCACTACGGCGTCTCTCATATTCATATGGGGGTTTTGGGACGTTAAACCCCACATATCAATCAATCCTTTACAGTAACAACGCCGTACACTCATCAATTCATTAATCGCAGCAGAGACTTATCGGCAGAACAACACAACTACCAGACAAAAACATGTTGCTGTAGCCAGCAGTGCTTCCTGGGAAATACGAATTTCTTGTCAGCAACCGTGGCTGTGGCATGTTAGCAACTAAAGCTGGAAGCGTATGCCGCGTTTTCTACGCACAAACAAACTTCACGTGCTGTGAAGACCGGCGTTGCCAGCGACCACCTTGGTTACCAAAGCAAGAGCACATAAAATATTTTTCTGTTGAAGTTGCGTCGTCCCGACCATAGAGTTTCGTAAAGCACTACAGGGAACTCTTGCACTAGTGTCTCTCTGGCAATGGATTTGTCTCATTTTTGTACTTTGGCTCCATTTCACTTAGCATCGCTTGGAGCTACTTTCACAAGACGATAATCAGCAAACGTTCAGCAGTTGCACTTCACCACCCTTATCTTTTAAGGTCGCCAATTCAAATATGGTCATGAAGTTCAGAACGGCCCGTCATTTTATTTGAAACAAAGCCAAAGCACAATAAACAGTCACAAGTGCTTTTGAAGCCCGCAAGCATGAAGACTAGGCTAATTTGTGTACTACCCATCATTCCCATGGTGGCTGAATGATCGCAGCACCAGAGTCCATTCTAGTTAATTTTTGAGAAACTCTATGGTCTTGGCAATGGATATCTGGTGCTGTCGCCAGGCCAACGTGCATGCGACGTCATCTTATCTGGTCGAGCACACCTTGCAAAAAGCTGAGAGTTGGTGCACTAAGTCTAAACTACAGTAATCGAAAAGGAAGGGGTGTAAGGTGTTGGTGTTATTCAATAGTGATGTTGCCTTGTTTTAACTCATGCAGAATGTTGCTTAAGCCACCTTTGCCGCTGTACACCAATGCCCAGTTGGAAAGTGTATTAAGATCTTGAAGGGGCTATTAAACCTTGTCACAGGATGCAGCACATTTTGTTCAATTACACATGCGTATATATGCTGCATAATTGTGTGTGAGGCAGCGGGTGCTAGTGAGTTTCTGATTAAAAAAGTCATCTGATCGCGCTGCACTACCGTGCACTGGCCACCCCGTATATATCAGCACTGTGTCTTGACCTCCAAGGTAGTGCCATTGGGAGATTTCTCCTGTGCGTTCTTGAACAATGAAAATTCGCATAGTGCACATTAACTAAAAGCCGACTGCGAGTCTCTGTGTCCAGTCGGAGTCTTTCATTTCTCAATGCCCATTAGCGGCGATTAGCAAGTTTCAGTAGGAAACACCGATCCATCACTGCGTGCTTTGCACCTCCCCAGGTTTATCCCCCGCTCAACGCTGTCATGACCGCTAGTGTCAAAGCTGCAGCCAGTGTGAGCGTTAGCGACCGCTGCTTCACATCTACTCATGGTTTCCTTTAGTGGGAGATGGTGTAATTTTTTTATTATTTCCATACCGCAGTAGTTTTGCTATCAGCAGTGCTGCTGCTCATTGGAATAGCACTCTTTTATAAAAAATGAGGCCTTTTACATGTGATATGCGATATTTTTACAACTATTCAGTCCTGTCTCAAATTGAATGCCACAGAAATCTCTCTGTTCACACTAAGACGAAAAGTTTTGTTCACTGTAAAACACCGTTTATGGCATGTAGTATTAGTAACAGTACCCGTACGTGCTAACTTGCGGGGTGAAATTTGTAAAGAAAAGTTGGTCTACTATAATGTACTATTGAGAGTATAAGTTTCAGAACTCCTGCCCTAGCATATGCAGCCATGGAATTTCGGTGGCACTTTCGCAGGATCCACACCATTCCGAGTGTGCCCATCGTGGACTGCTTCCAGAAGATCCGGCAACAGGTCAAGTGCTACCTGCAGCTGTCACACATCACGGGCAAGAATGAACTGCAAGAGGCAAGTACTGTGGAGTTCGTGAAATTGACAGTTTGCATTGTACATGTTCCTGTGCTGCCAGAACAAGAGATCATGGGGCGCAAGGAAGGGAACCATAGAATGTCGTCAGAGCTAATACCGCTGCGGATACAAGCTAAAACAGGCTGCTATCGCGTACAATTTTCAAAGAGGTGGTGCCATGACACTTGTGGGTTTCCTCCGTAAGCAAGGGCACTCCACACGAATGTCAGACACAGCCAATGTTTAGAATATACAGTCGACGTCCGATTTCCCGCACCCTCAAGGGACTGGGAAAATATCCGAAAAATCAGACAGTCCTGAAAAAAGAATGCGCATAACAATGCAGCTTTTTTGTAGGTATTTTTCGCTGATGAGACGTCCTCACTACGCCACCAATCGCCAAAGAGAGGGAAGACCCCTCAACCCACTTTTTATCCAGTTCCCTCTTGGCTACGTGTCTCAATCACTTTTCACATACAGGGATTCGTGCTGGGGCCGGGAAGTAAGAGACGTCACGATCTTTTTTTAATCAGTGGACGCATTTAATTCAATAACAAGTGCAAATGGCAGTACACACATATTGTCCGTGAACGACATCTCTGCTACGCGAAATGGTAACACATCAGCAAATACTCACGCCACGCGAAACAGGATACATAAGCGAGTAACGGTGACAATACAACGGTGCCTCAATACAGAGTAAACATACGACGACACAAATGATAAAGTGATAAATTAGTAAAACCGCGCAATGTCTCAATATGCCGCATCCCTTCCCGCAAAGCTCGTTTAAGTAAAGGAGGTGAAGTTCGTCTCACAGAATGCTCATGCAGTCGGAGCCTCGGAGTTGGCTGCTCAAGTCGAGGCCGAAGATTGGTTCTTCGCGTCGCGATCTGATCTGTCCCCTTCCGTCGGCGTCTTCATCGTCTCCGTCATCGTCACCTACGTCATGCCTCTCAGTGATTTCCATCTTTGCCCTCTTTCATAACGCTCCATTCACTCGCCTCCTATCTCTAACTTTCATTCCTCATCGTACCGTCCTTGCCCCAGTCATCATCTCATCGCCTCTCATCGCTATATCTTCGCACCACGTCACAATCCCTTCATCTTGCAGAAGAATTTTTCCAGCGGGGAAATTCAAACACGAGAAATGCGGGCGCATAGCGCCTTCGGGTTGCGCAGCGAAATTGAGACATTGCGGCAGTCTTAGGCATACGGTATGCGAACACAGCACCATTGTGATTCAGCCCTGGCGGCAGCGCGTCGCTGAGACGAACCAATCTGTGATTGTCGCTGAATCATCACCCACCACGAAGCAGTTTGATTCCGTGTTTCTACCGCGCACAACACTTTTCAAACCTTCAGAATCACAGCAGAAACTCGTGGATGACGCGTGGACAAAACGCACACTGGTAACAGCTGCTCGTCGGATGGTTTGGCAGGCAACGTTCAGTCAAGTGTGCGGAAGGTTCACTACCATGCGAGCACATCACACACTTCGCCTGCACTGTCCACTCTCGGCACAACCGAACAGACGATACACACATTTCAATACGCTTTCATTCCACACATGCACGAAATTTTAAGATCTTATATAACATCTCAAACAAAACGAAAAGCGGGATGGCGGGAGAACATAGGTCATACAGGTAGCAACACTGAATTACCCTCGCGTACCATCTCCTGCCCGGCCTCTGCTGCACCTGTCGGTGAGGGAAAGGGACCTCCAACGCGAATTGCGTGTTCGGATTGACTGAGAACGTAGTGTATATGCTGTCCTATGCAACTGTGACATTGGGCGTTGTACATCTATACCGATCACGACGCCACCTGCCTCCTAACGAGGGGCGACACTTCCGTGAGGGGAGACGCCATGAAACCATTTCAATTTGAACTTTCACCTCGCCTCGTTGATACCGGGGCTGCTTCATCTCTTTCCACAAGCCAGCCCTCTCGCCCCCTATCGAGGCACGACACTATTGTGTAGGGAAAACGCCGTAGCTTGTCTGTAATATTTCCTTGTCTCATCTCATCACTTGTTGCAGCGTCTATTTATTAGCTCAACCTACCACCACGCATAATCCGCCTAACTTGGACCACAGATGCCAGTCACATATCCTGTCTTGCTAAACCTTCTCGTTTCTTAAAACAGTCCCTTTTGCACCTTCCTCTCCGACAAGTGGCGAGATCTCCGTTACCTCACATTCACTGACTCTATGTTCTTCCCCCATCATTAGGTGTTAATCGATCCCAGGTGGTACCACTTACTCATCGATCAACATCAGATGCCGCAAACAACACAAAACCATAATAACCGAGCAAACTACCTGCCTCATTTCAAAACACAATTAACAAAATAAAACAAGTGTACAAGCCAAAGTAAAACAAAATGAAAAACTTAAACTTCAACGCAAGGGCTCCACTAAAGTAACGAGCACAATGACCGAGCAGAAATCACAGAACATAAAATGGCATACAACATTTCGGACTCTTATGACCCTAGCCGATCCCCGAGCTCTCAGCGTCTGCCTGCATGCAGACCTCTTCCCCGACTCTGAGTCCCGGACCCTCGTTGGATGGTCCGAGCTTCACCCTACTCAACTCAGTCGCGGAGTGAGGCATGTGCGAAGCTATCCGATAAGACCACCGCTGCGCATGCCCGGGCTTGGTGCGGTGTACATCGAGTGTGCTGCAGTTCCCCTCTGGCCCCACAAAAACTACCCCATTGCGATCTAGGCATTCTTCAATCTCATCCACTCTCTCTAACGTTCGGTCTACCACCGTGTCGACCAAGACTCCGACAACTGTATCCTCAGAAAACCCATTCTCATCCAACTCCATATCTGCTACTCTTATTGGTAATGCCTCATCGTCTCGTGGGACCTTCGAGGTAGAAACCGCAGCTAAACCGTCTGTATCCGCTCCGGCAACCTCGACAGCTTTTGTTTCACCCAGTGGCACCGGCGTGCCAGCGTTCCCCCCAAACAAACACTCGCTTAATGGCGGAACATCCTCCTCGATCATGGAAATTACATTAACCACTTCCGCACACGCTGAACTGCAACTCATTTTTAAGGAGCTTGTTTCCTCGCGAATATTTACGACCGCGATTGACCTCTGCGCGTCAACGTCATGAGGAGGAGATGCGTCTAGGTTTCCAGATTCGAATTTTGTCACCATCTCCTTGTCTTTGTGAATGCGGCTGTCACCCATCGAATTCCACTTTCGTCGCCGGTACTGATAGCATTCTCGCCAAAAGTGACCAATTCTGCCACAGTTATAGCACCCGTCGGGATAAGGGAGCTGCTTAGGGAATTCCTGCCAATCTTGTTTCACCTTATTGCATACTGCCGAGCTCGCCACAAGTTTTTCGGGGTGGTCAAGATGACTATGCATATCATGAACATCTGTGTTCTCTTCTACGAATTGAACGGGTAACGAATGACTCCTCGACACTTTCTCATTCTGTTCCTCCTTGACCGCTATGGCAATGGCCTCGTCAAACGTTTTCGGGTCTCGAGAGAGAACAAATCTGCGGACCGGATCCCTTAGGCCTAATAAAAATTGCGAAAGCAATTGTTCGGCTAAAATTTCGCGGCGCAGTGAAGCTTTCACCGGATCCTGACTATCCGAGCTCGCCAGGGTGGCGGTCCCGAGGATGCGCAAGCGACTTGCAAATGACCGCACCACCTCATCTGCCCTCTGCCTTGCTTTTAAAAACCTTTCCATTTTAAAGATGAGTGGCTCCATATCGAACCTCTTGAGGGCTAAAGATTTGAACTCGGAAAAAGTTGCAGCCGCAGCGACGTGATCATCCCACCACGCAAAATTGTGCGCCGCGCCTACCATCTTGCATCGTCCTATGCAGACCAGCTCACTATCCCGCCATCCACTCAAGCGACCAACCTGCTCCAAAATTTTCAAGACCCCAATATCCGGACCCGTATCACCTCCCATAAATGACGGAACCATGTCCGCTAACATTAACGCACTCATTTCCAGTGGGCCGTCTCTGTCGGTCATCTTGGTAGTCTACTCGTTAATTTTGCCGCCTCTCCTTCCCTAGTACGAGCGTGAAATCTCGCACCGTTGCCCCAGCAGTAATCCCACCGCTGCCACCACTTGAGACGTCCCCACTACGTCACCGATCGCCAAAGAGAGGGAAGACCCCTCAACCCACTTTTTATCCGGTTCCCTCTTGGCTACGTGTCTCAATCACTTTTCACATACAGGGATTCGTGCTGGGGCCGGGAAGTAAGAGACGTCACGATCTTTTTTAATCGTGGACGCATTTAATTCAATAACAAGTGCAAATGGCGTACACACATATTGTCCGTGAACGACATCTCTGCTACGCGAAATGGTAACACATCAGCAAATACTCGCGACACCCGAAACAGGATACATAAGCGAGTAACGGTGACAATACAACGGTGCCTCAATACAGAGGAAACATACGACGACACAAATGATAAAGTGATAAATTAGTAAAACCGCGCAATGTCTCAATATGCCGCATCCCTTCCCGCAAAGCTCGTTTAAGTAAAGGAGGTGAAGTTCGTCTCACAGAATGTCCATGTAGTCGGAGCCTCGGAGTTGGCTGCTCGAGTCGGGGGCCGAAGATTGGTTCTTCGCGTCGCGGTCTGATCTGTCCCCTTCCGTCGGCGTCTTCATCGTCTTCGTCATCGTCGCCTACGTCATGCCTCTCAGTGATTTCCATCTTTGCCCTCTTTCGTAACGCTCCATTCACTCGCCTCCTATCTCTAACTTTCATTCCTCATCGTACCGTCCTTGCCCCAGTCATCATCTCATCGCCTCTCATCGCTATATCTTCGCACCGTTATCTTCCTTTTCCATTCTGTCTCTCTACCATCTCGAGCTCATCGCATCGTATCTCTCTGACCCCTCGTATCGACTCGTAGTCCCTTTTTGTAGGACCCGACTCCGCCCTACCGGGCAACCAAACCAGTCGCCATTATCGACGCGGCATATTTTCTTGT